TTATTTGCCAGATCTTCATTTTCTATTAAGTTCAATTTATGTTTTGGCAAGTCCATCAGGTTTTTAATTTTTTTGTCCTGTGGATTTTTCTGTAAATCTTTCTCTAATTTCTTATACTCCTCCTCCAACTTCTTTTGAGTTTGTCTACTCTGTTTGTTCTTTTTTCCTACGTATGTCATTGCCAATATGCCTTACTAGTATCCCATACATTTTGCAGTGATGTATCTTCTTTTCTTTTCTTTTCCATTCAGTTCTTTTTCCATATATTGTAAAAAATCCTTTTCACATTTAGTAAGTTTTGATTTAATGTCCATCTCATTTTGTTTCTCTGCCCCTTCCATGTCATCGTTATTGGGCTGTGGTCTGTCCATATATTTGTTTCTATATCAATCTTGTATATCTTAGATTCTGTTGACATCCACATCATCTATTCTTGACCACAATATGTGCCTATTTGAATAGAATGAATATTGCTTCTCCTTTAAATTTCTTTTTCTCCATGCATCTTGTAAACTTAATTCCTCTGTCATTATATAAAATGCTTTAGGGAGCGTTTTTCTTTTTATTCACTTTTGAAGATTTATAGTCTAACTCATAATTAACAATCACATTAAAATCTCCTGTTATGCAAATACCTTAATATTTATATTCTAATATTTTCCTGTGTAGTTTTGCATAAAATTCCTCTTGATTTTCATTTGGAGAAAATATCCCCACTAATAATATTTTTTTTGGCTCATTACTATTTCTACCATTAGTACTATTCCTTCCTCATCGCAAATATTTGTTTAGACTGAATTGTCTTTTTAATATAAAATGCTACTCCTTTTTTGCTTTGGCAAGCCAACGTTGTATATAATGTTCCCAATTTTGTTTGCTCCAAAAGTTTTTTATGTTGCTTTCTAATGTGAACTTCTTGTAAACATATAATTTCTAGTTTTAACTTCTCTAATTTATTAAATATTATTATTCTTTTTATTGCCGAATTTAGTCCATTTATATTCATTGATATTATTTTGATTTCTTCTTCCATTTCTTATTTGTTTATTTGTTTTGTAGATCTAGTCATTCTTATCTCCCTTTGCTCTTTAACTTCTCTCGCTCTTGCTCCTTCTCTTATCACACTTTCTTGTTGTTCTTTAGCCATTTCTTTTAGTTGTTCTTTTTTTTCCTCCTGGTTTCCTTCCCCTCTTTCTTCACTCAGTCTCTCTTCCTCTTGAAATCCTATGTACTGTCCATTAAATATTTCTGCTTTCTCTATTGTATCTAATCTGTGTCAATTCACCAATATTCCTTCTGGTACCAACCATCTGAAATTCACTCCTCTTTTAGTCAAACATTTCGTAAGGAATTGATATTCTTTTCTCAGGTCTCTGACTCTTCTTGAAATTTGTTTCAAAGCCACTATCTCTCTACCTTTGTGCTTTATGGTCGCATTTCTCATCAACTGCACTATCTTTGCTCTCAATGTTTTCTTGGTTAATCTAACATGAATTTCTCTAGGTAGATTGTTTCTCATTGCATACCTTGTATGCACTCTGTATATCTTGTCAATCCCGCTTAATATCTTATCTTTACTCTCTTACATTGCTTCCGCTAATATCTCTGCAATTTTCTCTGCTAGATTCTCTCCTTTTTCTTCTTCAACATTTTGAAATCTTAAATCAGCTTTATCCATTTCCAGTGATATAATTGTCCTTTCCTGATTCTTATCAGTAGTTGTAAATCTATAATCCATCTCTTCCATTTTTTCTCCGTTGCTTCTGCTTTTTCTTCCACCTGCATCAATGGTTGTTCATTTTTTCCTATCATCTCTTTAACTTCCTTTAATTCTCCATCCATTTTTTCTATTTTCTCATCTACTTTATTTATTCTTTCCTTGAGATCTTCATATATAGTCTGTAACATATTTTTTAATTCCGCATTGGTTTTCTCTCGTTGTGTTGTAGTTTCTGCTGTCTTTTGTCCCATGGAGCCAGATGCTTTTGATATTGATGGTGATGATAGATGGTGTGTTATTTTCTTCATTTTGTTTCTTCGGTTCAAACCACCCAATTTGTAATCCAAATAATGCAATTTTAGAATTCACACTCGCCTCATTTAAATTCCAAATTCAAATTCAAAATCTACTCCAAAATCAAATTCTTTGGGTTCTTATTACCCTAATCGACATAGGTTTAAACAATATAAAAGAAGAAGAAATGCAGAACCTCCTTTAAAAAGAAAAACAAAAACAAAAATTCAATAATGAAAATTTAAAAGCCAAAATGTGCCAGGAAAAAAAGGATCCAAAATAGCAGTTAAAGAAAGAGAAAAACAAAAGTAAAAATAATCACCCAAAAAGTAATAAGGCCAGGGAGAAAGGGCAAAAATAACAAATTTTTCAATAGAGAAGAGTACAAATTGCCAAAAATTTAAATCCAGAAAAACTGAATAAAAAGAAAGGAAAGAAAAAAAAATATCCAAAAGTCCACTGTTCCATAATTATAAATCCACCAGGCAAAAAACTGACAGTTCAATCTTTAGTAGTTTACAAAAAATTATTGTACTTTTATCCCCGTTACAAAATCACAAGACCATCTCTTATCAGAGTTCTCTTGCCAGCCTTCAAAACATTGTCCAAAGTCTTTCCACTCTTATCTTCTCCTTTATTCAATTTTTTGTTTACTTTTCTCTAGCACCATTAGATGGCACTGCAGTTTACTCCAAATAGTCTAAGTTTTAAACAACCCAATTTTCATCTTCCAAATTCAAAGACAAATCTCAAAGTTTCAAAAATCATTCACTTTGCAAAAAAGCCACTTTGCCCAATCTGCTTTCTAATTTTTAAATCAATTTTTCAGCTTTGCCAATTCTGTCTTCATTAATGGCACCCACTTTTTCACCGCTGTTACCGGAAGTGGGGAGATAGCCTTCTATCCGCTCCCTTCCCTCTCCTCTTTTGCTGTTCTCTTTCAAATAAAGTTTTTTAAAGTCAGGGAATAAATTAAAAAGGGGGAATCTTGTTTCCAAGACCACAGTTCTCACCCAGATGATTCACCTCGCTTTCTTCTTCTTTCTCCCTTGTGTGGCCACCCTGGCTTGTGACAGCACCTGATGGCTGTCTTCCCACTGCTGGGTCGGAGGCTATTATCCGGCGCTTCAGGGAATTTGTGATTTCCCTGTTTGCGCCAGCCTGTGCCTCCGTTCTTCACTGTCCCTACAAGACAGCTATGATCCCTTAGGACCCCCCCAAAACAGCTGGGATATTGGTGCTTCTTCGGAGCCCCCAAGTTACACGCTGTACCTCCATGATGCTGGCTATGCCCCACAAAGTTGACATGCTTTTCAATAAGAGAATATCATGTCTAAAGTATAAGAGAATAATCATGTCTAAAGTAAACATCAACGAACCGAGTATCTTATCAGATTGGGTAATTTACAGTCAGTCTTCAATATTTTATTCTTGGAAAAGATGTGGAATCCAGCTTCAAATCAGCAAGATGTGGCTTCAGTTTTGCTTATTGGATACTTTAGTTCAGGAGTGTCAAACTGGTGGCCCACAGGCCAGATGAATCACGTGCAGGCCATGTCCACCCCAGCTCTGCTAGGGGAAAATATCGTGACACGTCATGTGACAGCAATGTGATGCTACATGTTTGATACCTGTGCTCTAGTTTAATAACAAGACAAATGTGAAATCAAAATGAAGATTATTTAACATAATAGAATAGAATTCTTTATTGGCCAAGTGTGATTGGACACACAAGGAATTTGTCTTTGGTGCATATGTTCTCAATGTACATATAAGATAAGATACACTAGTCAAGAATCACAGGACACAATACCCATTATTTAACATAAGTTATTCTTGTCTTGAAAACTCAGTTTTACTATATTTCTAGTTTCAGTTGATGACCTGAAAATTGAGTTCTTATTGGTGACTAGAAACTACTTTCTTCAGTTAAAGTAATGCATTCTATGCATTCAGTTTTTACAGATATCTAGAGAGATCTGCTATAGAGACACATTAGTTATATCCTATTTGGACTACTTAATTTGCTCTACACAGGCTGATTTGAATAGTGTGGAATATTCACTAGATCAAAACACAAGAACCAAACCACATGGAGCATTGTTACAACAGCTTTATTAGTTATCCATCCATTTCAGAAATTAATAAATAATTTTACTAAGTTATCTAAAATTTCCCAGTAAGCCTGCATGGTTGTTTGTCCAACCTAATCAGTTAGCTTAATGCTCATCAGACACTATAAAACATTGTCTAACTTTTTATCATTTAAAATTAGTTGCATACTTACTATAAACTAACCACTCAACTCTGAAGGCCTTAATAAAGTTATATATAGTTATATACATGCATACATACACAGAGGCACAAAGAAAATCTGCTGCTTTATTAGTTCAGGTAACCATGCTTATTGTGGAGCAGTGGTGGGATTCAGCCAGTTCGCACCACTTCGGGAGAACCGGTTGTTAACTTTCTGAGCAGTTTGGCAAACTGGTTGTTGGAAGAAATCATTAGGGCAGAGAACTGGTTGTTAAATTACTTGAATCCCACCACTGAGTTACAAGATATAATTTTAACAGATACATTGTGTGCTATTTGTTTAATTTTAAATAAAATATGAGGCTGCTTTACAGCATAGAGATGGGATAAACTGTAAGCCCATTTAATTATTCATAACATGGACAAAAGGGATAGTTCTCTCCTTTTCTCACACCAGGAGTGTTCAAGAGTTTTCAGTGACATATACAGGCATTTGATGTATCAGAGACAAAAGCCATCTTCCAGATCCAAGACAATGAACTGAATAAATTATACTTCAGTTAACCTTATTTGAGTTATATCCAATCTTTTATCTAGGAGCTCAATGTAGCATTTTTTATTTTAAAAAATGATATGCCCTCCCCAAACTTATGAGTCTAGGTGGCATATAGTGTGCAGTTCTGCATACTTTCCCAGAACAGCCCTGTGAGATCCACTTGCCACAGTCATTAAGAAAAATATTATGGCAATAAAATTGTACACTGAATGTATAATTAATGTCCAATATGATGGGTTTATCTTCATCCAGAATCGACTCAGTAAGAGCCATATTCTGTATTCTAGCCTACAGCTCCGAACTGGAGTTCCCTTGATCATTGCAGTGGGCCATTGCCTTGGGGGACGACAGGAGTCGAAACTGTCGGTAGTCCAGACCAATATGGACTACTGAACTATTTATATTGATAAAGCTGAGTTCAGGCCTTTCTAGCATACTCGCGAAGACTAAAGATCAGTATTACCAAAGTTGGATTTTTAAAATTGGTGCGTTGTGACCGCGAAATCGGTTTTCTAATGAAACCCCGTTAACAACTCTACTAAAGACACATCTCTCTTCTCGTCCTACTAAATAAACCCAGTTCCCAAGAGACCAGGTACGTCCCAGTTCTTTAAAAGCAAACGGGCAAGAAAAGGAGGAAGGGGCTTATTGACAGAACCTCCCCCCCCCCCTTTTTTTTTTTTTCTTTATAGGTTCTGCTGTACGCCAAGAGCAGGCCGGCGCGGGGACGAGGAAAGTGAACGGCCCGATATCCCCGCGCGCCATTTTAAGCGCAAATCTCGCGTCCTTCTGTTCAAGATTGTTGTCACACAAAGTACTCTCTTTGTTAAAATAGCAGGAATAGGAGGCGAAACGTTTTGTATTCACTCTCTTGAATGCCATAATAGGCATACCAAGGTAGTAACACTCAACCGACCCACCCCACCCTCAACAGATACGCAGTCTAATTCTTCCAGGCGCGCCCAAACTCTCGTATGAGGGAAAAACCACTAATTTTCTCGCCCCCTTACTTTTTCCCTCCTGAAGCGCGTGCGTGCAACGCCCGCTGCGACAAGAGGGGTGTGGAGTCGGCGGACGGCAGCAGCTTTGGCTGGGCCCGGAACGAGAGGGGAGTTTAATTAGGGCAACCTGGCTTGGTTTTTAAGGTGGTAATTGAGTTTGGGGGATGGGGGTGGAAGGAAATTATCTGTGGTTCCTGTGGTTAGGGGACTTCTCAATACAGCTTTTTGCATTGTTCGCTTTACAGTAATTCAAATAATGTTCCTTCGGATTTATTGACGGCGCGGTGCGCAAAAGTTGCGAATTGGGGAATCTGCGTAGGCAGTAGAGAAGTGGCCTCTCCGCTTTCTTCTGGAGAAGAGTCTACGCAAACTCGGCTACTTTTCAGCATCTGGACAGACATCCTCCCAGTTGTCTTAAAGCCTTCAGTATCTCATAAATTAAGAGGATAGAAGCAGGCTCTGTTTTTTGAAGACAACATATTTATCTCTCTTTCTCCTAATTCCCTCCTTTCCCCCTTTCAGTTATAGCATCCCCCAAAAAGAAACTGGGTTAATGTATAGTGTCTTTACTTGAATGGCTTTCTTAATGCTGTCTTTAAATGTTTATTTCTTCTTTTACAAAAACGAACTAAAACAATTAAGGTTGAGCTTATTTGGAAACAAAACCACTAGCAATTCTTATATTGTAATTATGTTGACCAAAGAATTTAAGTCTATAGTTTTGGTGAGCCATAGCTGAATGCAGGAAGCTCACAATTGGCTTCCTGAAAAGCTCATTTGTTTCTAAGGTTTTACCAGCACATTTTGCCTATTCTGTTGCCTAAAATTAATTCAGATATATTAGAAAATTAATCCATAGTGCATTTAATTTTGTTTGTTACTAGAAGTTGGGATGGAAACCGGAATTGAACAGACAACATCTCTGATAGATAACTAAAAAAAATGAGAGTAGGGACAGTGACCAATTGTTCTCTTTGCTGTTTCCAGTAAAATCTCATAATTTAAGTAAGCAATACATTCCTACTTCTGAAACAGTCATAAAAGATAAGGATCAGCAGAACAGGAATTTTGTCTCTGAGGAAAGAGAGAAGAGAAGTTGCCATAATATAGACATTATGCCAGTCAGCTGTGACTACATTCTAAACATTAAATTGGAAGATGAGGTTTTGATAAAAGGAAGAGAATCAAAGAAGAGAGTATCAAGTGTGATGAAAAGGGAACATGATGTTGCTTTGCAAAATACACTGCAATCAGAGGGTAGGAAAAGAAAGCGTAGGAGTTCTTCATTGGAAGTGGGATCTCAAGGAGACATTGTCATAGAAAAAATATATACTAGTTCTTTACTAGAACATGAAGAAAAATTCCTAAGTTTCACAAAAAATGCAAAGAATTTAAAGAAAAAATGCAAACATTCCTTGATAATGAGAGGATTACACAAGGAAATGGAAACTGTAACTGAAAAGGATGAGACTTCAATAATAATTAATTTAGGCTCTGAAAAAGTATCAGGAAACCTGCAAAAAAGCCACAGCCATTTAGCCTCAGAATCAAAACTTCAGCATAAAACACGGAATTTTAGGAAGAGAATTAAACCAATTTGGCCAGAACAAAAGCAGAACAGAAGTCAAAAAGTAAAAAGAAACATAACTGAGAAGCATGGTAATTCAGTAATGATAGATTTAGGGTCTGAAAAAGCATCGGAAAACCTGCAGAAAAGCTGTAGCTGCATAGTCTCACAATTGCGACTTCAGCAGAAAACATGGACTTTTAGGGAGAGGATTAAACCAGCTTGGCCAGAACAAAAGCAGGACAGAAGTCAGAGAATAAAGAGAGGCATATGTAAGTTAGAATGTATCATACAGAACATAAGTGTATTAAAATATAGAGAACATTTCCCAAAATTGCAGGTATATGTAAAGTACCCAGATAGTGTGAGGTCAGCTGCTGTGACACATTTTTCAAGTAACTATATAGAAGGATTAGAGAGTCTAATGAAAAATGCCATGGTGAATTTTGTAAAACAAAAAGAACTGACTGTCACAAAATTGCAGAAGAGTATAAAAGCTTCAAATAGACATAGGCAAGATTTATTAGATTCTATAGCAGACTTTGAAGAAAATAAATGCAGAAATAATGTAAAAGAAATAAATAGGATAGTAATACAAATATTTTCAAAATCAAAAATATATACAAGTGATGGTGAAAAACAAAGTTGGAAGTCCAAAAGAAGTGTTACAGACATTGTGGAATATATTTCAAAGAAGAAAATAACTAAAAAACAAATGGATTGTGTACCTAAAAAGAAGCTGTTGTTTACCAAAACAGGGAACTGGTAAGGAAGAGACAGATGGAAAGGATGAAATTGTGTCTTCAACTGATCTTAAAAAAGAAATCAAAACATTTAGTAAGGATGCTTATTCCCTTTTCATCTGAATATATGTCTTATGACTAGAGTTGATTTTCTTTTTTCGGATCTATTACTGCCTGCTTGAATCTAAATTTAAAAACTTTAAAATGACTTTCAAATTAAAATTGGGATAGTATAACTAGTAAAAAATTAAGTTTGGTTACATTTGCAATTGAAGTTAAAACATTTTACAATTTTAAACTTTCTCCAAGAAATGTTAGTCAAAGCTCCATGCTTGAAAGCAGGCATTTGAAACCGAGTCTCCTTCAAGTAGATCTGATTCCTGTTAATTTAATGTCCATGTCCATGCTGTTTCTTAAAATTTGGGAGTGATTTCTGTTTTGGATGGATTTTTAAAAATATTTCTCAGTTTAGCCAACCACTTTAGTATTTCATGATGATCTCTCACCCAACTACAACTATAATTAGGTCTGACCTGGTTTAGCTTTTTCAAGATCACATAGGACTTCTGTCTATCTAGACACTAATTCTTTATATATAGAATGAATAATCATGTCTGGGCACACTTGTACTGGGCACACTAGTACAGTTTGTATAAAGCTGCTTCTTTTATATTTTGGCTGGAAAATACAAACACTTCTAAAAACTAAAGTAGTAAAATGGCTTGGGGAACTGCAACAGTTCCTAAAATAATAAATTTGATTTGATTGAAAAGATTACCATTGAAAGGAGTGTAGTTAGAACTGAAACTTCAATAGCTTTTATTAATTCTCTTAAAGGTATCTTTTTTGGAGTCTGCTGCATTTTACACTAAATTAATGCTATATTATAATTAAAATTCCCTTGTGTAGCATGCATATATGCTTGCATAATTATTTATTTTAATGTTTAAATTACTTTATTAAATAAACATATGTAATAACCATATTACTATACAGATAATCCTTGACTTAACTATCCGTTGCTTAACAAGTGTTTAATATGACAGACTTTCCTAGAGATATTTATGACCCATCTTTACAGTTAATTGCAGCATTGTGTGGTCATATGGCCACAATTTGTTACTTTTTTGTCAGTTTTCAGCAAAAAAAACTCAGGGAAAATAGATACTTGAAAAAAACCCACTGCATTCACTTAATGGCCATTATAAAAATTGCTCTTATCTTCAAATCTAGACATGTGTTCTCTTGATTTACCATTGTAATTCCAGACTCAATTACAGTTATACGTTGAAGACTATCTGTACTAATTAAAATAGGACCTAGAATAAATTTAGATGATACAAGATAAGTTTCTGTCTCTAATGATGTTTTGTAGAATATGTATTTATAAATACCTTTTTTATAGTGAAGTATTATGTTGTACTTGAGAATATATTAAATATATTAATGATTATTTGTTTTTTTAATCAGGAGAAGATACCCTTGACATTTTAAGTAGACAATATGGAAGGCTGCCATATACAATTCTGAATACTTTAAAGAACTGCAATATAGAGACAGCATTAGAACAGTCTGCATGTCTACTAATAACTGAGGCAGATGTGATCAAGAACAAAAATTCTGTTAAACTTTGTTTTTGGAAGCAGACTAAAAACTATTGTAACACTACTTTTTCTATCACAAATACAGCATATCCAGAAAATTTTGACATAAGAATACTTGAAAAGAAAATTGAAAAAAGTGCATTGGTGAAGTATCAGAATGAAAGATTTGAATGGCTTCCTATGTATAATTTTCCGCCCTGCAAAAAGAGTCTAGTAGTAAAATCATTTGATCGTTGTAAGACGTTATTACAATCTACAGGTATCAAGCCTCAAAGCTATAAAATTAATTGTGGATTTCTGTATACTGCATTTGATCAAGGAAAATCCCTATCTTCTAAGGGTATGGGACAGAAAGAACTTAGTAGTATCCTTAATGTAATACATGATATAATCACACAAAAAGACATTTTGGTTTCAAGAGAAATGTTCCAACATACTAAAAGTCAACATGGAAAGCGAATCAAGAAAAATAAATTGTCCATGGATTTTAAAAAGCCAAGCAAAAAGCTAAAAATGCCAGAGAACCTAGAAGAATCATCAGTCATGAAAGTTCTCGTAAATGAGGATTTTTCCACAGAACATGGAATACCAATAGAAGAAAATACTGTTGCCGTAGATTCTGCAGTAATTTCAGAAAAACTAGATTATAATGACACAAATATCTTATCTTTACTTGATTGTATACCTGATTTTAGTCTCGAGCTGCCTTCTCAAAATCAAGTTGCCACCATGTCTAGCAATGAAACAGCAGACCAAGAGCACTTCATTACATACGGTTACAGTATTTTTGAGAAATCGGTAGTTCTCGAAACAGACAAGAATGAATTAAAAGAAATAGAGGCATTTATTGACTTCAGTAAAATAGATGAAAAGAAATCCATAGCGGAGACACTGGATAGTGAAAAAAGTATGATCTGTAATAGTAATGCTACTCCCTACATGAAAAGAAAAAGGACATGTAACATAAAAATTAAAAAAACTGGTAGGAAGCTGCAACTGTATAGCTGTCAAAGGGCAATCCCAATTAGTGGTAAAAATATATGGCCTCGTGAATCATGCACAAGGACATCCTTGTGGGTTTGTAAAAATCATGCATGGGATTCACATAGAGGATATTTAGAAGATACTGATTCAGTAACAAAATGCAGCAAATTGGAGGTTCATAAACCATTGGTAGATAGTTGTAAAATATCTATAAATACAATGGAATGTGTTGTTGAAAGCCCATTTTCAGACTGCATATTGCATGTAGGCAAGATACTTTCACCTATTACTGAGAATAGGTTTTCTTATAATATGGAAAGATCTAAACAAAGTACACTTGGTACTGAAATTGTAAAATCAAAAGTGATTTTGAATTTATTAAGGAAAGAAGTCAAAGAAAAAAGTATAAATATTCAGAATAACTCATTTGCAGGCATTAGGAAAAAGAGGATAGATAATCCAAAAGCATCAGTTACCAAACAAAAAACAGTGTTGAAAAATTTGACATCAGGAACTTTGTCAAATTTCAAAATTCCTTTACTTAAGGGTAAAGGTAATTTTAGAAAACTAGAAACTGAAACATCATCCCAAAAAAATACTGGCAATTCTTCAAATGTTTTAGAGAACGCTCTTTCTCTAAAAGAAGCTAGAATTAAAGTGGCTTCATCTGACAAAAATTCTAGCTCACAAATCCTATCAGAACAGGAGAATTATATGTCTGGACTGGAAAAATACATACATCAATTCAACAGTGATATTTCTGAAAATGTTTCTAAAAAGAGAAGAATTTGTAATATTTTTGAGAATACTTCACATAAGAATAAACTAAAATCACCAACTTTGAATGCTACTCCTTTCTCTTTGAGTACTGGAAACATAGAGGAACAAATGCTAAATTCTGCTTTGGCCTCAGAAATTATTGATAAAGTTAATGTCAACAATAAGTTGGCACAGAACAAAGATGATATTTGTGCAGATATTCCTAAGGTTTATGAAGATGATATTCTTGTAATTGATGTTATTCAAGATGATCCTGACCTGTTTGGAGATAATGTTGAGCAAGAAGATGACTATGCAAAGATTCATAATACTAAAAAAATGCATAGCAGTCACTTTTCAAAAAAAGATCTGGAATGGAAATCGAAATCATCTCAACTTTCAAAAAGCAAGAAATTGAAATGCATTAGGTAGGCTTGTTGCTTCGAATTTTGTGTGTGTGTGTGTGTTTATTTATGGTGTGGCTTTTCTTAAAGTACAATTCAAAGATTTTTAAGAAAACAAAATCTTAGAACTATAGAATATGAAGTGATCTAGTAAAAGTGGTGTGATGAATTAGAATTTGGGAGTTGGGAGGATAATCAAGAGTATACCTTATTCCTACACTATATTAAAATTGTTCACAGAGAAATTTGAAGCATGTCAACGGTAATTGTAAAACAAACGTCTTCTAATAGGATTTTATATGATTGTTTTGTTTTAAATATGCAATAGCACTTACCTATAGTAAAGAATCTAGCTATTTATGTTCAGACATATTTGGGTTCATATTCACATTATTACACATTACAGATAGGAAAAAGTACAAAATAGAGTATATTCTTAAATGTTAAGATTTAAATACAAATTATTTTGCTTTTTTTTTTTTTTTTCATTTAAACATCTAGCTCAGGGGTGTCAAATTCAAGGCCTGGGGCCCAGATCTGGCCTATGGGGTGCTTAGATCTGGCCCGCAGGGCCATCCTTGAAACAGTGAAGGACCAATCCGTGGTGCCTCTGCCAGTGAAAACAGCTTGGGAGGGCCGTGTGAGGCTCTGTTTTCGCTGGTAGAGGGTTGCAGGAGGCTGCCACAGCCGAAAACAGAGCTTGAGAGCCCGTTGTTGCTGGCAGAGCGCTCAAGCTACCATAGGCACTCCCGACACTAGTGGCGTTAAACTGGCCATGCCCACCCTAGCCCCCAAGGTCAAACACAACCCTGATACGGCCCTCAATGAGATTGAGTTTGACATCCATGACCTAGATAAATCTTCATGCCTAAATGGTATGTCAAGTAGTGCAATAACATCCATTTTAGATGGTACAAATGGTAATGAATTATCATAGTTTCAGTATTCCAGGTTTGACTCTTGTGAGATAAGGTTATACAATAAAAGTGCCTAATTTTAGAGAGGAACACTTAATGTTTGTCTTCAGAACAATTCTCCAGAATTATTGTGTGTGTGGTGTGTGTGCAATTTTTTCTGAAATACTAAAACATTTAATGAAAGACAAGCATAACAAAAGAACCAACTTAGAAAACATTTAACTTTGTCTTTAAAATAATAAAATATTGCATGCATGCATCACATCAACAGTTCAAACTAAGATGTTATTTGTATGACCCTTGATAGAATACTTTCTTGCCCACAAGATCCACATTCATCTCCAAACTATTTCCTTCAGATTCTTAAAGGGCTACTCTCATTTATTTGTTCTTGATGTTACTTCATCTTCCAGATGATATTTCTTTATTTAAGTGGCGTTTTCTGAACAAATTAGTTGGAAATATAAGAGTAGTTTATTTCTTGGTTATTCAGTACTTGCATCTGATCCCATATTATTCCTGAACTAAGTTGCATGTATTTGTTATAATGATTGAAGTTGATGAAATTGCTGTATGTATAGCTTCTACATATAATGAATTTGGTGTAGTGCAGGGGTCTCCAAACTGTAGCTTTGGGCTACATCTACCCCCCTGAAAGGTTCCTTCCAGCCTGCCAGCTCCTCCATGTGCTGTGCTCTGATCCTTCCCAAACAGCGCAGGGAGAGAAAGCAGGGTTATATTCATCATTGTTTGGAAAGGAAAGTAGGATTCCCTTGATTTCTCCAATTCGGGAGAAGGGGTATTGCAAGCCAGCTGGAGAGTTGCTGGATGAGGAAGAGGAAGCATAAATTATGAGTAAAATAGAGTGTTATGCTGTGCTGTTTTAGTAGAATGATAAGGGCTTGATAATACAATTTTCCTTAAATTTTATAAAATCTTTCATTTACAGAGACAGCCTCATTCAAGATTATGAAACACTGAAATTGGATGAAAATGCTGATGGTTTGGTGATACAAGGTAAAGAGATTAAAATGCAGAAATGGAGACAAAATAGTTTACATAATTTTTGACAACATAGTTAATTTGCATAATTGTGTAATAAATAAATTGATGTATATAATATACAACATGTATGTATAATGCATAGATCTAGCAATGGTCCAGACAGATTTTGGAAAGAATAGATTACGTGTTAGTTTATAGGGAAAGTCCAAACAGAAATATGGTCATTATAAGATAGTCCTTGACTTGGGACCATTTGATGACTATTCAAAGTTATGACAACCTCAGAAAAAATGCTTTATCTATACTTGCACTCATTTTTGGTTCTTTTATTTTAAAAAAAATCAAAATTTCAAAAAAAAATTAAAAAAAACATTAAAAACATTTTAATGTTTTCTTTAAAACAAATAAAAACTAACAGATGAGAATTGAATAGAATAACTTTATTGTCACTTTGATTGTACACTAATCGGCATACATTAAAATGAAATTTCGTTGCATACAGTTCTCAAAGGATTACCACCTCCAATATATACTACATAACCATGACAAAATACATACATACATACATACATACATACATACATACATACATAGTCTAGTTCGTACATGTCGAGAAAAACAAATCTTGTAAATTTGGGTGGATGGCATAGGGAACAAAGCTGTTACAGAATCTGGTAGTCTTGCTAGAAATGCTTCAGAACTTCCTCCCAAAGGGGAGCAACAGAAACAGACCGTAAAGTGGGTGTGTATGGGTCTCTAACAATGCTTTGAGCTCTAAGCACATAGTGCTTATAAGCAGTTTATAAGATGAATTACGGGGAGCAAGCTTCCTATAATCATCTCAGCTGTCCTTATCACTCTGTATGGACTTTCTCTCTGATGCACTGCTGCCACCAAACCAAACAGTGATGTAGTTTGTTAAAACGCTCTCAATCGTGCCTCTAAAAGGTGGCCAGGACAGAAGGAAAAATATGTGCTGGTTTTCATCCTTCACTAAGGATGATGTGTGGGGAGACCAAATCAGATTGTTAGTTTTCTGCACCCACAGATACTTACCGTATTTTCCGGTGTATAAGATGACTTTTTAACACATGAAAATCTCAAAAGTTGGGGGTCATCTTATACGCCAGGTGTCGTTCTCCTGTAACCAGGCAGACCAGCCTGAAAGGCTCTGACGAGCCTTAAATGGCTCTGATGAGCCAGGCTCTGACCATCCCAGCTGAGTTGCCTGCTGGGATCGCCAGAGCAATTTAAAAGGAAAAAACTTTTTTTCTTTTACATGGCTCTGGCGATCCAAGCTCTGGCGATCCCAGCTGAGTTGCCTGCTAATCAGGCAACTCAGCTTGGATCGCCAGAGTCATGTAAAAGGAAAAACCTTTTTTCTTTTACATGGCTCTGGCGATCCAAGCTCTGGCGATCCTAGCTGAGTTGCCTGCTAATCAGGCAACTCAGTTTGGATCGCCAGAGCCATGTAAAAGGAAAAAAGTTTTCCCCCTCCAGCTTGCTTATCTTAGCTGCTAGTCGCAACGCTTGCCTTGCTTCGCTTGCCTGCAATCCATTTCATCAGCAAGCAACTCCCTACCTGCAATCAAGCAGGCAGAGAGTTGTGGACTTCAACTTCCAGAATTCCTCAGCCAGCAAAGCGAAGCTGGCTGAGGAATTCTGGGAGCTGAAGTCTACAAGTCTTAAAGTTGCCAAGGTTGGAGACCCCTGTTCTATTGGGTAAGTTTTTTCCCCTTTGGGAGCTTTAAAAAAAATAGTTAATTGGGGGTTTTTTTAGTTGTTCTTTTTTAGACCTAGCCATTTAAAGTTTAGGAAGTTTTAAATTTAGCTTTCATATAAAAATTAAAATAAAATAAAGTAAAATAATATTTGTGCAGCTTTCTGAGATTTAGTGTGTTTCTGTAGTGTTACTACTTCTGTACTGTTTCACAAAGCTGTATGTGAAATTTTGTGTGTGTAAAGTGTGAAAGTTGGGTTTTTGGGCTTTTTGTGGCTGTGTGAGGTTCCTGCTTGTTGCAGGGGCAATTTGGGTCTAGCACAGCTGCTTTTACATTGTGGGTGAGCCAGTTGATGTTTTTTAATTTTTATTTGGTGTGTGTTGGAAGAGGAGTAGTCTTATACGGCGAGTATAGCCCAAACCCTATATTTTAACAGGAAAAGTCGGGGGTCATCTTATACGCTCAGTCGTCTTATACACCGGAAAATACGGTAATACTGTTGACCACTTCTACAGTTGCATCCTTGACACTGAGTGGAGTATGACTATGCCAACTCTTTCTAAAATCTACAGTGATTTCCTTGGTTTTATCAACTTTTATAACCAGGTTACTTTAATTACATCAGTCCACCAAAGCCTTCACCTCTTCCCTATAAGCATCTTCACTGTCATCCCGGATAAGACCCACAACTTCCGTGTCATCCGCATACTTCACATGATTTGTAGCAGATTTGGCACAGCAGTCATGGATCATCAAAGTGAACAGTAGTGGACTCAAGACACAGCCCTGTGGGAAACCTGTACTCAAGGAGATGGAGTTGGAAACTTGGAAACATAGAAACATATTATCCCTCCAGTTGAATACTGATCAATACTACAATTTAATTCCCCATCCCTCGCAAAATAAGCCCCAAAATTTTTTTAAAAACTAATTCTATTTGTAAATTATTAACCTGTCATCTATATACTATATTAATGATAAAATAGTTAACAAGAACAATAATAATAAAAAAGGCAATATTAAAGTTTCCAAACCATCTGTTAACAAACTCTTTCTAATCAACTTGTAGAAAATTTATCACAGCATTTTATCATTCTAAATCATTCCAAGAGTTAACAGTAATTCTTCCTGAATTAAGTATTCACATTTGTTTCTTAATACCATCTCTTATCAATTGTCTGGTCAAACATAATAAATTGAATCTCCAAAGTCAGTCTATCTTCACAAAAAAAAGTCCAGATAAAATTGTTTTTCGATTAAATGTATAAAATCCATTCCCCAATGTCCTTCAGTCCTTTTGGAAAAAATCAATTTATCACTTCCCCCTCACTCAGGTTGCTTCTGTTATAAAAAAATGCTGGCTTGAAGGGGAGGGGTATGCAATCAGCTCAGTTCTAAGTCTGTACAGTCCATATTTCTTTCCAACAGATCTCCTGCTTTCAAATCACATTCTTTCTGGGGACCTAATTTATTAAGAGCTACAGACATCTGAATATTTTCTACAACTATTATCAGTTCATCAAACTTTTGAAAAAATCTTTTAACTAAGGGTGTTTTTTCAGTTACCAGCCACATCCTGTACTTGCACTTATGAAGGTCATACCTCTCCCACACATGTGTGATCATAATTTGGGCACTTGGCAACTGGCTCACATTTACATCTGATGAGCAGCTTACAGTCATGTGATGATGATTTGCAATCTTTTTCAGCTTTTTGCCAAAAAAATCCCTTGGGGAAGTTGGATTTGCTTAACAATCAACCATGTGATTCACTAAAAGATTGGTGATTTGCTATTTGACCATGGTAAAAATAGTTGTAAAATCGGGTTCAGTCATATAATATTTATGACTGCATTTACGATTACTTTGGAATTATGAGTTCTTCAGATATCTAAAAATCCTGTAAGGTTTTATATGCTTTAAACTCATGCTTTTCTATTAGCAAAATATGTTATTTTTATCCCTAGTTATGGTTAAATTTTCTTTTTCCAAAACATTCTGAAATTTATAATAAGTTTAAAGTGTATAAAACCTGACAGGACTCAGGGGTAATAGAATAATGAGATATCTTAGACACTGCCTACCAGAGCTGTTTTTACCTTGCCTGTTCAGATTCCTTATAGAATCCCTGCCTAAATTGTTTTACTATAATATCAGTTTCTTCTCATATGCTTTTTCAGCACACTATTCACTTTAGTTGTCTAATGTATTTTACTCAAGAAGTCCTTAATTTAAATAAGAACCGTAAAGAATCTCATATCTTATCCAAATGCCAATGTCAATTGAGAACTAACAATAATCAGCATATGGGACATAATTAACCATATTAAATTATATTGTTCTTTTGGTATGTTCCAGATTACAGTTTTATTTTTAAAACAGGTTCAGACTTAAAGTTGTTATCACAAGTCAATTGATAATCAATTGCATCCAATATTTATTACTTTTCAGTCCATTAATTAATAATTAACAGAAAATATATTGTAGGAAATAGATTTTTTGCCACCTAAAATTAGGGTTCCACAGAAATTTTATATGGTTCCAGAGAGACTAAGGGCAAAAATAAAGTTACTTGCATTTAGCCAATTTTAGATTAAAAGGCAAACAGGAGTTCTGGGATTTTTTAAAAAACTAAGGTTCCAACAGCTTGAAAAAGTTAAGAAACCCCAGTTTTAGAGAAACGTCGTTAACTGTTTTTGTATAAAAAGTTCTGGTCCAATTAACATGCAAGCCAAGCATACATTTTATGTATAATGCCATAATGCTCCCCTTGCCTGTGGTTTGCTTTGTATTTGTATAAAGTATTGCATTGTGTTCTAAATATAAAAGGAAAAGAAGCATGTAGATTATTAGCATTCTCCTCCTATTGGATTTGTTGCTAGGTACTGTGCTAGAATTAGGTTTTTCAACCTGTGAACCAGGACATAACCATATAATTAATTAATTAATGATTCTATACAGCTTAATTAAAAATGAGATCACTATATACTTTGTTTTTAGAGAATTAAGAATTCTGTAGTTTATTTGTAATTCTTGAGAATTTATCATATCTGAATTATGTCTGAATTTTTTTGAAACATTAAATTATAGCAATTCATAGGAACTTTAAATTGCATTCCAGTTAATGTTATTGTTTGGCCAACTATTTCCCCTTCTTTAATATGTGTATACTGTATGTGTACATGTGAAATTTAAAAATTAATTAAGATTTTAAAAATGTATTAACCTTTATTTTAAGAATTTTGACATATTAATCTCTATTGGAGCATTTAGGGCTTGATATCAAATGAGTTATGTAGTGACATATTCTCATGATAATTACAGCTTCATGTTTTGAATGGTATAAGTGGCAACCATTGATCAAATGATTAATAATGTCGTATCATCTGGTACCACAAGTTTCTTTCCAACATAGAGGTGTCATTTTAAATGTAGAGTTACTACTTTAGGAATTTTGGAAAATACCCATTTTTCAGTTAAGCATTCCGTTTCTAATGTTGCTGTAGTTTAGAAGTATACATGACATTCTTTTTCCCAATTGATGAAGTTAAGTTAGAGGCTCTAAATGGAATCAATTCTATAGGAGGAATATCAGAATCATCTCCTGAAGATGGACAGCTGTCAGAACCGAATAAACTTACCGAGGTTTTTGATACAGATGAAAAGGTATAGAAGTACATTGATTTTGTTGCATAATAATAATTCAATATGTAATGAATACTGCATTGGGGAAAGTTTATCTTTTACAAGTAATATGTTGCACTTTTTTACATATGTTTATATGTATATATTTTTCCCACTGAGATCAGTAGTTCTAATTCCAGGTAAATGTACAAAGATTTATAATGTAAAGGTTGCTGACATACTAACTTGGGAGAAAATTATCTAAAAGAAATGGGATTTACTTGGAGTTGACATGTATAGGTTTCAATTAGATACTGAAGATTAGATTGCTAAATATAAATATTTTTCCAAAGATTGTTTCTGATGTTCTGTGTGGAATCTATTGGTGCTATTAAATTTATTTTGACATATGAAGTATAGCAAAGGAATGAGAACATATATAATTTTTATTGTAACATGGCTTTGTTAATAAGATGAGCTGCATAATGAAGTTTTTGAATTACTTTTAGAGAGCTACTAGGAATATGCATATTGCTTTATTAAAATGTCCACTAGAAAATTATAGTACAAGAATATAATCAAAAAGAATTATTCCTGTAGTTCTTTTTAAGAATATGGATTACTTTTAAAACAAAAATCATTTCTAAATTTTATATAACTTTATTTTGATGTTCATTTTACAGTATGAATTTTCAAAGAAATTGCTTGCTATGCAAGAACAGAAAACAAATGTTCAAGACTTTGCAAAAATGTATGTATTCAGATAGTAATATTCAAATCAGTCTTAATTATGTGAAGGAAAAAACTTTCTCATATTTATTTTCGTTTAATTTTAAGATTTAAATTAGATGTCGGTTCCAAACATTAACTAACTGCTCAGAAACTCTTTAAAAAAACCTGTTTGAAAGTACATTCCCAGACTGAGAGCCATCAATAAAAGCAGTTTAGCCTCTTATGTTCTTTACTGTCATGGACTGAAGGGACAGCCAGAAAAAAGAGTTCTGAAACTCTACCATAAAATCTGTTAATTTTCACAAGTGAAAAGCTTTTATTTAGAAACTTGGATGCAGATATTTTAGATTTCCTTTAATTTATTGAAGTCATTGTAGCTAATACTTCTTAGAAATAGGTTATAAATTATATTAATATGTTCCAGTTGATCATTTTCAGTGTTATCTATATAGCTGTTATTTGAATTATTTGAAATTAAATTAATTTTGGAGGCAATCTCCACATACAAAGCATTGCAATTACTAAATATGGAAAAACGAGACAGTGGATAACTATACAGCTATCACTTTGCTTTGATTGCACTTAGCACATCAATTTCAGCTGCTTAATAATAGGTCATATCACAGATGTTGTTTGAGGAATTAAGATATACAACTAGCCAGTAAGGAAATATAACAATAAAGAAGGCTCTAAGATTGATTGATTGATGCAATTTGATTGAGCCAAACTCCGTTTCGCTCTGGGTAGCTGACATTGAAAAAGTGTTTTAAAAATACAAAATAAAAGTCCATTTGCTACTTTACCATGAATCAAGAAATTTATGTCCTTTAAGAGGAACATTTTTGCTTTTTTGAAAGGAAGGGGATACAGATTTACAGATTATAATAGTGCAAATTTAATAATGTAGTATTTTATTTTCTACATTAATAGTCATGTGAATATCTGTTTCTCCATCTGGAATATAGTGAGAATACCCTAACAATTGAACCTCTGAGCTGTGATCATCAATTGGAATTGTCATTTCCTACTGTGAAGGCCATTGTTCCTCAACAGCAAGACCCAGCACTAAAATCAAGGATGAATGGTATAAATTAATAATGTTTAAGTATTATATTATTTTTCTGTTGTATTACTTTTTCATCTACATATAAAGATCCTTTTCCTGTTCAACGTGTTATTTGAACATTTTTGAATTGTTCTATAAAGAAACTTGTAAGGTGATGTAATTATTTGATATGAATTATGCTTTAGAATTTCATAGGACTATTTGGAGAGGACAGAAAAGTAGTTCTATCCGTTATAACATAGACTTGGGGTATACTATAATGCCTGTCAAAATGTCTGTATAATAGAAGTTAATATAAATAACTGCACACTGTACTTATCTAGAGAATAATCATAAAAATGGTGTCAGCTTAAAACAAACAGCACTTATTTAACATAAAATAGTAACATTGGAGTGATAACATACATTTTTAATTGTTGGTTTTATACTTTGTTTTCTATCATAATTCTTGGAAAGAGTGTCAAATATAGAAATGAGAATTTCAGAGAAATATATTTAATTTAAGTATTATTTAATATATTTTTACATAAGCAGTTTTCTTATCTTCAACATTAGATTTCAGATTCCCAAGGAAATGTCCTCGTTTGCCCTTATCAACTACTAATAGTTATAAAACCTGGAAAGGAGAAAAACATCCAGGGGTAAGTTTCAGAACTTTATGTATTTATAACTAAGCTTAAACTAAGTCGTATTTAACAGTTTAAATATATTCAATTTGTCATTATCTCTAAAACAAACATAAATAATTTATATTTATGCAATAATTTATTACCACAACTTCTGAAAAGTTTGTCTAGAAAAATCTCTCAGTGATTACCACTCCAAATGTAAAAGATGTGATTTCTTTAATGGCCAAGAAGAGGGGTTTTTTTTTATCATAAAGATACTTGGAAAGACAAAAAATTAGGTTCACAAAGGATTCTAAATGATTTAAGACCTTTCTAGTGTCTTGCTAGAAACTTGCTGGAAAAAATAGCATATAATAAATTACTGTGTTTCTTCAAAAATAAGACCTACCCAGAAAATAAGCCCTAGCATGATTTTTCATGCTGTTCGCAATGTAAGTCTTACCCCCAAAATAAAACCCTAGTTAAGAGAGTCATTGGCAGGGGATGTAGCTGGTAGCCAGTATAGGAGGCAGCGAGAGCGTGCGCAGGGGCTGACAGTGTCTGGAAGCAGCTGCAACCCACCAGTCCCTTGGCTGATGCACTCTGGGACTGCGTAGCTACGTAGCACAGGTAAATCCCTCCAGGCAGCAGGGGGCAGCAGAGGCACAGGGGGAGGCATGCGATCCATCCACAGTCTTTGCTTGCAGAGTGTGCAGCAGAGCTGAAGGACGAGGTTGGATGGCAGGGCCTGAGAGAGCAAGGGCCATCCCCGCCCCATCACTTGCCAAGTCTCACGGCAGCAGCACCAGCAGAATCAGAGGCACAGGGATGGAGGAGTCACGTGATCCGGCCTGCCGGATGTGCAGCAGAGCTGCCCGTCCATCTGTCCATCTTTGCTTGCCTTCGGCTATGATGGGACAAGCAGCTGCGTGGCACATCCGGTAGGCCGAATTACATGCCTCCCCCCCCCCGCCCACCCCATCCTGCTGCTTATTGGTGCTGCCACCACTAGGTGAGGCAAGGCAGGTGGCAGGGTGAGAGTGGCACCACACCGTGGCCCCTGCACACTCGCCACCAGCCATCCAACCTGGTCCTCCAGCTCTGCTGCACACTCCGCAAGCAAAGACAGACAATGGGACAGATCGTGTGCCTTCCCCCACTCCCATGCTTTTGTCTTCACCTGCTGTTTGGTGGGACTTACCCTCAAGGCTGTTTTCCCCCTTTTAAACCTGACCTCCTTTTCCAAAGGCTATCATCCAGAAGGAACAATCTCCTCCCCCTGGATCCAGCCAAGACAGAAGCTGCCCTTTGCATCTGCCAGTCAGCAAAGCGGTTCTTCATTTCATTTTCCTCTGCGGGGGCCCACCCAACCCCTATGGCCATTAAAATATCATTTGTTGGACTTACAAATAACCCTCTCTCCAAGTGCATTTCCACCTCAGCAAATCCAAGGGCTCCCTGCTGTAAACTCTCCCCGAGGCTGACACTTGGCTCTCACCATTACCACGCACGCACCCAATGAACCACAGTTGAGCTGCTCCATCCATTCACGGGATCTTAAAGGGACACGGCTCTGATTTATTGCTTTTTATGTTCCCCCTCCCGTTTTGAGACAATGGAACAGCTTCTCTTCCCAAAACAATTGAGCCCAACACTACCGGGAGAGTTGCAAAATTAACCCGAACATGGCACAAGGAACAGCCACCGCTTTTCCCAGGGGATGTGTGCAGGAAAAGCATGGAGAGGCAGGTATCCTCGCCCTGACAGCAGGGAATGATGGGGCTTTTTATCCTTCACTTCAGAAGCAAGAAGGAGGGAAAAGGAGAGCAGTCACTCATGGGCTGCCTCTTTGCAGGCTACTCCACAGGCTTGCTTGCGGGAACCCAGGGCAAAAGGAAAGGTCTGTGCCTTGCAGATTGGTCCCGAACTGAACCTCCCCTTTGAACTTGGCCTCTCTCCTTGGAGGGAGATGGAGAGTTAGGCTGGGCTGAAACAGGAGAAAGTGGGGAGAGAAGCCACACAGCTCTCCATGGGACCTCTCAGGAGACATGGTGTGCAAATGTAAAAGCCACTTCTTCCAAGTCAGCAGCAGCGCCTGGGCTCTGGCAGCAGGCCCGCTTCATCCTCTCCCTGGGAGTGTCTTGTCAGTGTCCCCTTGATGGCCCTTCCCCTGCCCCTGCACATTTCCCAGAGGGGGAGAGAGAGAGGAGGAGAGAACAAATGAAAAGGGCGCCTGGACTTTTGGCGCTTCATTTTGATTTGCATGCTGTGCCTCCTGAGAGGTCTTGTGGAGAGACGGGCAAGCCCCTCATCCTTAGCTGCTGGATATAGGGCTAGGCTGGGCTGAAGCAGAGAAGAAAGAGCAGAGAGAAGCTGTACAGCTAAGGACAAGTGGCTCACCTGCCTGTCTACAAGACCTCAGCAGACACAGCATGCAAATGTAAAAGCCTCTCCTTCCAAGTCAGCAGCAGCACCTGAATCAAAACAAAGCGCTGCGAGTCTGGGTGCCCTTCCCATTTGTTCCCCCTTTCTCTCTCACCCCCTCTCCCTCCCTGGGAACTGTGCAAGGGAGGGGAAGGGCCATCAAGGGACGCTGACAAGGCACTCCTGGGGAGAGGACGAAGTGGGCCTGCTACCAGAGTCCAGGCGTTGCTGCTGATTTGAAAGGAGCAGCTTTTATTTTTATTTATTTATTTATTTTATGCAATTTATGTGCCGCCCTATCTCCAAGGACTCTATTGTTCCACTGTTCACTGTTTTACATTTGCACACCATGTCTTCTGAGAGGTCTCATGTAGAAGCAAATGAACCCCTTGCCATTAGCTTCATGGCTTCTCTCCCCACTCTTTCTCCTGCTTTAGCCCAGTTTAACTCTCCATCTCCCTCTGAGAAGGAGAGACAAATCTGCAAGAAACAAACCCTTCCTTCCATACTGGGTCCCCGTGAGCAAGCCTGGGGATCAGCTGGCGAACAGGCAGCCCTTGAGCGATCGCTCTCCCTTTCTCTCCTTCTCCTTCCCCTTGCTAATGAGGTGAGGGACAAAAAGCCCCATCGTTCCCAGCTGCCAGGGCGAGGCTACTTGCCTCGCCATGCTTTTCCCGCATACACCCTCCTGGTGCCTAGGCTCTGCTTGGAGGGCAAGCCTGGCAGTCACAGCGCTCTGACTTACCTGTGCTGCACAGACTTTGCAGCTCCAGAGCGCCAGCCAAGGGCCAGTGCACTCCCCACCTCCTATGTGAGCAGGAGGGTTAAGAGTGCCCGGCCAGGCAGGGCCAGTCCCTCACTGCCTCCTTTGTGAAAACCAGGGATAGAGCACCCAGCCAGGCAGGGCTGGTCCCTCACCATCTCCAATACCATCTTTTCCCAGATAATAAGCTCTAATGGATCTTTCGGAGCCCCCAAAAATATAAGACCAGATCTTATTTTTAGGGAAACATGGTACCTAGGTATAGATAGCAGTTATTATTACTATGGTTCATTGCACAGTCAGCTAGATGTTCAGATTGGATTTGGAATTTTTGTCTGCCTGTCAGATCCTTCCCAAGGACCAGGGATAGACAGATGTGGGTGTTTGATGGTGATACCATTGCAAAATATAAGCTGTTCCAAGTAAAGCTGTCTGTCAGGGTTCCAACTGATGCCCTAATTAAATCATGAGCCTCGAGCCAAGCTTCAAAAGAAATCCAGTTATTTATTAGGAGCTTCATGTCAGCATGTTCCAAGTGAAGCCAACTCTGACCTCACTTAATTCATGCCCTTGCTCTGACCCTGTTTTCCCCTCCCCTGAAGGTGTGTCATCAGTCAAATTCCCCAACAAAGCAATTTCATGGGTTGTAGAGTCCCTCCCTCCGGCCACTGTGGGTATCCGTGGAGATGGCCTTGACATAGAGATGGCTGGAATGTGCTTTTGTTTTGACTGAAGTGTGATTCTCTCGCTGCAGCTGCGAGGCTCGGTTCCCCATCCCCCTGCCTATGGCAACTCAAGAGTAGGTCAGGAATGCTTCGCGAGTTGACACAGTCTTTTGCAATTGTTTTAGGATCTCAGCCAAGGTACCTCTTACTATTGATTGTACCTTTGCTTTCTTTTGCCACAGTCAGTCTATTCTGTTTGGACATCTTTGTATTTTGTTATCTTCTCCAGTTCTTTCTCTACAGTCTATCCAGACTTTTTTGTGTTTCTTATCAACAGTTGTTGAGTCTGGGGTATTATGTGGCAGATGACCAACTTCACATTCTTCAGATATTTCACACTGTGTGCATTAGAAATTTGTGTCTACTGTATCTGACTGCGTCAAGGCACATGAGAAACACTGCTCCATGTGTTGTGTTTATAAACATTATTTCTCTAGTTGAGATTTATAAATGTTTATGAGAAACACTGCTCCATGTGTTGTGTTTATAAACATTATTTCTCTAGTTGAGATTTATAAGGCAGCTATGTAATTCTTGGAGTGATTGTTTGTGCATCATTGCAAGCTAAATATGGGTAGTCCTCAACATACTACCATAATAGAGTTCACCCATTACAGGGTGCATGTTGTGATGGTCATAAATTGGCTGAGTCACATAACTAACCTGATTTTATGACCTTTTTTGTGGTTATCATTAAACAAATGTGGTTGTTAAATTAACATGGCAGTTATTAAATAAGCCCATTGTTCGCTATGATGCAGTTTTTCCTAAAACCATATGTCATTTTAATTTTGGCAAAAACATTGTAAAGTGAAGTCACATGATTGCAAGACACTGCAGACAGCCATAAATCCAGCTGGGTTGCTGAATGTCTGAAATGCAGTCACGTGACTGGGTAGTAACTTGCTTGTTTCAGTAAGTCATAACTTTGAATGGTTGCTAAGCAACTGGTCATAAATCAGGATACATGTATCTTTGCCTTATTAAAAATTATTTGAAAAAGTACTCAGCAGCGTTTAGCCCAGTAGTGGGATTCTACTGGTTCGCACCGATTCGGTAGAACTGGTTGTTAAGTAGTTAAGCAATTTGGAGAACCGGCTGTTAGAAGAAATCTCCTTTTGTTTTTTTCCACTATACAGGGTTAATCCTGTAAGGAATTGTTTCCTAGCCTAATCTTTATTGCCCTGCTTACAGAAACTGCCTCTCCATTAACCCTTATTACATTCTTGGCAATATGCCTAGACTTACTGTTGCTTCCGGTTCCAGAGCTTCTCAGAGGTGTTTTTGGGTTTTGTTTTTTTTTTGGCTTGACTTTCTTAGAGGAGAAGGGTTGTTTTAAGCTTTTTACACCACTATTGGGAGGAAATACTCCCCTGTTGGAGTTCTTCCAGCCAGGGTGCAATGATCAGCACTTTGAAGAAATAATTGAATTACGAAGCAGAAGCTTTTAATGACAAGAAACTAAGATGAGTGACATTCAGCAAGGCTTATTGGCTAGCTAGAAAGATTGATGTTCAAAGGTGAGTTTACATACCCTTTCTAACTTTTGGTCTAAAACTGGTTTTTGGTGAAGTTTAATTCTCTGCTTGGTGATGTTTAATCCTATGTTTAGTGATGAGATAATTTTCCCTGTTCAGCTTTGTTTGGAAGTTAAAATGTTAATCTCTGTTCCTGAAAAGGAGCAGCTTCGGAAATCTGATTAGTTCCTGTGTCAATTTGTTCTGGTAATTGGTTTAACAAGCAACAGATACTCTGTTTGCTCCTTTTCTTCAATCTGGAGCGCTTAAATGACCTCTGCTAAAGGGTTTCATTTTATGAGCAAGAGTTGGCTGCTGATAGTTATCATTGCATTTTAATTCCTCAAGATGCTCTGGCATCCTGCCTGATTTGTAACTCCAGTTTGCAGGTATTTCTAATCTAATGATTGGTATTTAGGGCAGCTTTTTGCAAGCAAAGAAGCTTTTTGTATTTTTGTACATGTAATCCTTAATTTACAACAGTTACAATGGCACTGAAAAAAGTGATTTATGACCGTTTTTCACACGATTATTGCAGCAAACTGTCATTAGGGTAAAGAAGCAATGCCACATGACCACCTGGCCATGCCCACCTGGTCACATGAAGCACCACAGTTGTGAAATGAGTGACACGGTTGTTAAGAATGGTGCAATGGGCATAAATGATGAGGGGTCATAAGTGCGAGGACTGGTCAAAAGTGCGAAGACCTGTCAGAAATCACTTTTTTCAGCCCTCTGGTCCTCACACTTTTGACCGGTCCTCGTACTTACGACTGTCCTAACATTTTACGTTTTGCGCCCTATCTTGTCACCATGGTGAAGAGAAGCAATTGTGAAATGAGTCACACCATTGTTAAGAATGCTGCAATGGGCATAAATGTGAGGATGGTAATAAGTGTGAGGACTGGTCAAAAGTGCGAGGACAGGTCAGAAATGACTTTTTTCAGCCCTCTGAGTAGTCCCTATGCACATAGCCACAGCCACCCGGTCACATGACCACCAAGCCACCACCACCCCCCAAAATAAGTCACACCCACAGAATTGGTTGTTAAAAAAATTGAATCCCACCACTGGTTTAGCCCATAGGTTTTGTGCCACCAGTTCACAATAACACATAAGAATACTCACTTCCATTTTTAGGAGAAAAAAGTTAATATAATTCCTTCTACTATATTGGTTATCCTGCTCATTTAGCTTGATGATACTCATTACCAGAATTTAGAAGGGAAAGATTTTAAAATTTGAATTGTAATAAAAATAATTTTGTATTGTCTTGAAATAATTTTGTATACTGTCGTCTTCAAATAAATTTTATTATTGATAAATTCCTGAATCGGAAGGTAGATTTCATTTCCTTTTTTCCCAACTCATTTTACTACATTGCTTTCATTATAGAAAAGAAAAATACCATAGTAAGTTTAACATTTAAGTACTTTTTACTTTTGTTACTTACAAGCTTTGGTTCCAAAAAGTATATACCAGAGAAATCTTACTTTTTCTCTTTCCTCCATTTTGGCTTTAAATGAATCTGAAAACAAAAATACTTTATCTTTCTTTAAATAATTTTGCAGACTAATTTAGGATTGACTTTACCCCGTGGATACTGCAGATACTATTTCAATTCATTTAATGGCTGTAAGAAACCAAACTGCTGGTTTTCTCATGTTCTTGTATCAAGAGAAGATAAGGTAAAAACATGTTCCATTTCAGTATAAAATACTTTGCTAACTTTCAACCATAAATACAGCCATCAAAATCATCATAAATGTTTGCCTTTTAACAAATCATTTATATGATTATTAAATCTTTAAATTCATTAGATATTTGTTGATTTAGAGAAAGTGTATGATAAAAATGAATAAATTTCAGTAAAATACTACAAAGTTTGATATTTGCTGCATGCAGTAAGTGTGGCATACAGTAAAAGTAAAACGTATTAGAATAAAAATAAACAAATATAGTTCAGCTTTGATTTAACATATTTATGATTAGCTGTATAAGAAATGTTCTAGTGATACTTATAGGATATACATATCCATATAAACATGCTTTGAATTGTAGCCTCAAATAATTTGTTTACAATAAATGTATAATAATAGAAGAAAATTATGTGTTATCTTTTGACTAGCTGAAAAATAGTTTTGATACTATTTGGACTTTAAAGTAAATAACATAAATTTGCACTGGTTTTTTTTTTCCTTGTTTAGCAAAGAGTATTAACTTTGTGATTTTAATTTATTTACTAGCTTTGCAGTGAAATAATTAAGAAATATATAAGTATTGGTGGCGTAGTTTTGCTGCAACGGGCAGGTAATAAAAATTCAACATTACTACATACTAAATATATTGAGCTTGAGATTGACATCTGTTGATTTTCAGAATATAATACATATTAATAGCTCAAGAATTATCCTGATATTTCACTACTGAGTAGAAAGTTGACATTACAATAATTTGAATTTAATCTAGTTGAGTTAGAAAAGTGCCACTTAATTCAGTCAGATTTGATCTAGTTTAGAGCGCTATTGATATCAGATCCATAAAGCTGAAGCCACTGTATAGTTTTTAAATCTTTATCCTAGCACAGTATAATAGTTAACAAGTAATAGGAAATTAGGAATTAATAGGTTGCCAAGTCATCAGTATTGGTAGTCAGATAGGTATGTAGATTCCAAACATATAAAAATCTTCAAGCAGCTATCCAAAGACAATCCTTTTACATCAGAACTAGAACTAGAATTCCAGCTGAAATAAAATGTGTATAGCATGAGTACCTGATATTGAAAACTTTATCAATATTTAAATATTTAAATTGAATATTTAAAACAATACATAGAGATTTTAATCCTGAAAACAAACATTGCTAGGGAACACATGTGAAATTAATGACTGTTCATAGTTAAAAGAAAAAGTCAAAAGTCATTCTTCAAGATAAAGTTCTAGAGGCAAGATCACTGTATTTTGAAAACACTAGACATTTAATTCTGAAGCTTATGGTTTATTAACTATTCTTTCATCCCACTTTGTACTTAAGATAAAGAGACAAAACAGTGAATATTAAAATAGCCAGGAATTTGAAATACTGAAGTTTTAGCAGTTTTAATTAAGAAAGTGAATATTTTTAGATGCATAACAAAAAACATTTTGGATTATAAAATTTATATAAATAAGTATAAATTGAAAAAAATAATTCATTGTTAACTAATGTTTCATGGAATAATACTGATATATAAGAAATAAGATTACAAAAATTGTATGAAAAAATGATACTCTAGACCAGTGATGGCTAACCTTTTTGCCATTGCGTGCCAAAAGCGGGGGGAAGTTGCCTGTGTGTGTGCCCACACCCATAATTCTATGCACCCTGCCCCCTGCACATTCACGCATGCCGCCCTGGGCTCCCCCCGCTTTTGGCATGCAATGGCCCGGTGGGCCCAGTAGGCCCATTTTATGCTCCCCCCAGACTCCTAGAGAAGGCAAAAACGGCCTTTCCTATCCCCCTGGAGGCCCTCTGGAAGCTGGAAACGGCCCGTTTGCCAACTTCTGGTGGGACCTCGCATGCCCACTAATATGGCTCCAAGTGCCACCTGCGGCACGTGTGCCATAGGTTCGCCATCACGGCTCTAGACAAATCCCTTTCTATATCCCTTTCTAAAACTGAATTTCCATTGTATCCTTTTTATGTGTTTTACTTTTTCAAAATCAGTACAGATAATCTTGACTTACAATCACACTAGGGATCAGAATTTCCATCCTAAGACATTGCAGTCATAAGTTAAATTACCATGTTACTAGATTCAATTTTATGACAATCTTAATGATTGTTGTAAAGTGAGTGACTATGTTTAATAAGCAAATCCACATTCCCCAATGGAAATTGGCAAAAAAGGTCACAAATTTGATCATGTGACCTTAGGATGCTGCAACCAGTTGTAAATGTGAGATAATTGTCATGCGACCAAATTGAGATCACTTGACTTCTGGGATAGTGCAATGGTTTGCAATGGTCATCAGTCTGATCATAGGTCATAAAGCATCCTTTCTAAGGTTATTATAACTTTGAACCATCATGAAATGAACAAAATTGAAGATTATCTCTAAATCATTTCAGTAATCAATTACTTAAATACTGTTTTTGTTCACCTTTAAATTTCCTGTTTTATTTAGTATATATATTCTCAGATTACTGCAAAAAAGGTACCTCCGTATATCACTTGGATTTGCAAATGTTTCATGATCTCCTAACATCTTTGCTTCAGTCCTGTTTGCTGAAAGAACTTTTTCATGTAGTACACACTGGCATCAGAATTAAAATATTAGTAAGTGATCCTTCAATGTGTTTAACAATATTCTATATATTCCAATGAATTTAATTGAACCTACTCTCAGTTAAGTGGAGTATTTTTAGTTTATTGTAATATCTTTATATTTACATGCTGTTTGGATTTTGGATTGCTGTTTAGTTGTTAATTTAGTTTAGAATTCCCATGGTTATCCAATTAATTTCTTATGATATCATGGCAAAAATGATCTGAAAACAATTTAGAGATGATATGGTTAGTTTCCACAGGATCATATTGTCTGGTATTTAAATTCTGTTTGTGATAATTGTACAGAACTTGAATTCAAGCCATTTCACAAGTGGTAATATGACATTAGGCATATCTCAAATCTTCTTGAAATTGTGGAAATGAGAATCTTTAACATTTGCTTATCTTTTTGTAAATTTCATATTTTAAATATTAAGGTGGTTTTTTTTTTGCTTAGCCAACTATAGATATTCTACTCAAAATATTTGAAGAAGTGGCTTTGATGAAAGTAAAAGAGGCAGTACCTGAATTATCTGATATCTTTCGTAAGGTATGATTTGGATTATTTAATTTTTTCTTAGAAACTTTGTTTCTAGAGCCTATATGATACATTGGAGATAATCTCACAAATAACACTTTTTTACTTTTATGGTCTCTCATACCAAAGAACAAAAACAGAGGCATGTTTTTAGAGTGATAACTATTTTTAAAATAGTTTATTGGCATTTTCAACTAAAATGCAGCCCATATAAAATAAATTCCAAAAGATGGAGAAGGTTAAATTAAAATGACCATGTTTAAAAAGTACTATGTTGATTATAGCTTAAAAACATGAGAAAGGAGTAAATTTTTGGAAATACAATAGAAATATTGTAGAATCCATTGGAGTTGGCAACTAATAAATTTGAATGAATAATAAATAATACCATTTTTTGGTTTTGCTAAAATGGTAAATGCATGAAAGATTTGGCATCAATTATTTGAATAAGAGTTGTCCACCTAAAATTTTGGCATTTACCACTACCTGTAGACTTTGGTAGAGATTGAGCCTATATAATATTAGAAAGAAAGCAACTGCTACTACTTTTCAACACTTTTATATATACATATAATGAAAACCTAAAAGTATACATTATTAAATAATAATATAGTTTGTTTATTGGTTATAAAAATTTGCTTTGAATCTATTGGCTGCTATGACTGTTTCATATTAAAGTATACTCTGACCATCTTATCAACATAGTATTATATTGCGGCCATTGAGTAGCCCCTGGTTAATTTAGCAATATCTAGATTGAGTATATGGAAGTATATGGAAAATGTTGTCATCAACTGTTAGCTTAACATCCCTAATCATAAACACATTGACTATAAGGAGCCTTTGACATACATTATCTATTTTTTCCTTGTTTTTGTAAAGAATTTTGCAAGCACTTAATTGTGGAAATCTTGAAAATGTTCTTTATCAATGGGTTTTTTGTTACTATAGCTTATTGATGTTGGAATGGTTCTTGAACATGAACATATTAGACATATCACCAACTTACTAAACCAGTTACATGTTTCCAGCGAGGAAATTGCTATGCTTAGATCCAGGTATGTACTTCTTAATACTCTTTTAAAACTTCAAGTGGATAACATTTTGAAGTATCAATGCCCATAAAACTATATCAATCTATACCAGCTATATTTGTTCATAAGTAATTAATTATTATCTTCTTATGTTTTTTAACTTCATACCTTGTCAGAGCGTTTGTAGCATGACTACTTTTAGGAGACAACCCAGGAGCAAAACACAGCACACAGCAGAGACTTAGACAATTAACAGTGGTTTATATACAAGATATATACAGAAAGATACCTGGTAGCAAATACCTGATGAGTAATCAATCTTCTCTACACGGAGAATTTAGCAAAGGATATACACAAAGAGAGAGAGAGAGATGCCCTCTCATGGCCGCCTTTATATAGACACCTCTTAAAGTGGTAAAAGACTTGTGTGGACCCCTTCAGAGTCTTAAACTGGCTATAACAATGCTGAGTCATTCTCATGGCATCAGCCTTACATTTCATCATCTTTACAGTTGAATCAGCCTTACATTGGCTGGTCAGCATTAAATCATCATTACTCTGACACTCCTCCCATTTAAGATGAACAGCTAAATGCTTTAACATATTCCCAATGCTTACTGTTTATATTATATCCTTGTCTCCTGCTACGGTTACTATTCTCATTGCTACACACACTACTAGTACCTTTACCACTATAGCTGCTGAAACTATTCCTACAGTCATTATCTACTGACTTTGTACACTCTGTCTCATTAATCTCCATTACATTCTGTTCACCATCTCTTAGCTGGATATTTTACTTTCCCAATCTCGCTCAATCTCCTCGGTTTGGTTTATCTGCCTTGGTTTGGTTTATCTTCTCTTTAACTTTGGCTTCCTCCATTTATTTTGTTGTTCCTTAGGAAATGATTATGACCATATTTCTTGATTACGGGTTCGTTATGAACACCACCCACTCTAACCCCATTTGCAGTGAACCGCTCAAGAGGTATAACTTTATCACACCATTCAGGACTCCTAGATCTCACACTGTTTGCTTACCTTGCGTTTTGTCTACTCACAGGATACATCCTGTGATGTATTGTGCCTCATTACAAACAGCTCACTTTAAATATCTCTTGCACTGCTTTGACTTTTGCTGTGACTTATGCCACCTAGCTAGGTCTGGTGTCTTCTGCAGCCCTCTATAACTAGCATACTCACCTCCCTTATTCAACAAATGTACACACTCATCATGTGTGGGAGCCTTTGTACCTTGTTCTCATGCTTTCCTAGAACATACAGGCCATTCTTCTTAACTCCTCGTGCATGTATCCTCCCACCTTTCCTAATGGAATACTCTCCTCCTGCAAATAGGAATTCATAACCCTACCTATCTAACATGGATATACTCAACAGATTATTCTCTAATGCAGGTACATATAAGACATTGTACAATGTATCATCTATTGTTGATACATAAACATTACCTTCCCCTTTTACAGCAGCTCTTTTACCATTAGCCAAACCAACACATGTTTGCTTAGCTGGTCTTAAACCTGAAAACGCTTGTGGATTATTTGCAATGTGCTGGCTCACCCCACTATCCAACAATCAAGTGTTCCTGGTGTTTGCAGATGCCATCACTGCCAGGGAAAACAACACTGGAGAACCGTTCCTCATGTTTCTTCTCTCAGGGCAGTGTCTCTGGAGATGCTTAGTAGACCCACACACGTAGCATCTCTTCACAAAGTTCACTTTCTCAGTTGGTTTGCTGCCATCCTGAATCTTTGTAGATGCTGGTCTGTGATGTAGGCTCTGTCCTCCCTTTCCTGGTCTCCTCTCCAGCCATTTCTACTCCTTCTCTAACAGTTGACCAGTTCAATATGCCATGGTTAAATCCCACTCTTGCATAGACTCCAGACTGGTCACAAGAGCGTCCCATGAACTGTCCAAGGAACTGAGCACCACATACACCTTGTTTGCTTCAGTAAACGTCATTCCTCTGTCCTCTAACTACTGGAATGTACTCCTCATATTCTGCAGATGTGTGGACATACACTCTTCCGGCTTCAGCTAGGCCTTATACAATCTCCTAATCAGCAACACTTTGCTGCCCGCAGTTTCTCTCACATACACACAGCACTCTTTCGCAGACTGGGGACCACTCATGTGTATTAGCTGACTGTCTTCCAAGGCAAGAATTATGCTGGCTAATGCCTTTTCATTTTTCCTCTGGTCTCCATCACCCAGGACCCCTGGTGTATTAGAAACAATTGCCCACAACTCCTCTCTCCACAGGTACATCTCCATCTTCACACTTCAGGAGAGGTAGTTTGTCTCAGCCGAGACACCAAGAAACCTCCCATTATGCCAACAGAGGCCATGTTGCCTGCTAACCACAATTTAAACCACTTACTCTAGTGCAAGCTCCCACTGGGTTACTCTTCCTTCTAAGCTGTCTAGTCACTCTGGCCTTCTCTCTGGACTGGGACTATAACCTGTCAGAGCATTTGCAGCGTGATTACTTTTAGTAGACAACCCAGGAGCAAACCACAGCACACAGAGACTTAGACAATTAACAGTGGTTTATATACAAGATATATACAGAAACATGTGGTAGCAAATACCTGACGAGTAATCAATCTTCTCTATATGGAGAATTTAGCAAAGGATACCGGACACCCGGACAGATATACACAAAGAGAGAGAGATACACCCTCTCATGGCCACCTTTATATAGACACCTCTTAAAGTGGTAAAAGATTTGTGTGAACCCCTTCAGAGTCTCAAACTGGCTATACCAATGCTGATTCATTCTCATTGCATCGGCCTTACATTTCATCAACTTTATTCCTCAATTTATGTACTGAATTGCTCAAAAGACACATAAGGGAATGCAATGGCAAAATTAATACTTGTAAATGAAAGATCTTTAATTACCAAATTGCTGTATACAGATTTGTATTCATGATCTTTGTAATATAATACTAAGAGTTGAATCTACAGGTGGTTTTTGACTTTCAATTACAATTGACTCTAAAATTTTTGTTACTAAACAAGATATTTTGTCGCTAAGCGAGACATTTGTTAAGTTAATTTTGCCCCATTTTACGACCTGCCACAGTTGTTAAGTGAATCACTGCAGTTTTAAATTAGTAACATGGTTGTTAATTGAATCTGGCTTCCCCATTCCTTTGTTTATTGGAAAGTCACAAAAGGTGATCACATGACCCCGGGACAGTGCAACCGTATCAATTGCCAAGCATCTGAATTTTGATCATGTGAGCATGGGATGCTGCAATGGTGATAATGGTGATAGCACTTTTTTCAGTGCTATTGTAACTTTGAATGGTCACTAAATAAACTGTTGTAAATTGAGGACTAGCTGTATTTGATCATGCCTTAAATATTCATTCACAAGTTTTCTGTCCTGCTGGACTCCAAAATGACCCCCATTATTTCACAGATTAAATAAAAACGTAACAAGCACTGAACAAGCAGTTTAAAATTTAAAAATACCACTGGCACTAAACCTGCTAGCGATTATACAGATCAAAGGTTCTATGAAACAGCACTATTTAATGACATTCCTAGAAGACTTCAAAGAAGGAACCAAGTGCATCCCAAGGGCAAAGTCGATGTGTTCCAAAGAGATTGCAGCAGATAAAACATTGCCTCTAAACCTTTTCCCATCAATCTCTTGAATAGACATTATTAAACATTCCTTTACCAAATAAGTGTACAAAATGAACTTCTAATCAAAGAAGACAGTTCAGAAGGTAATCCTCACAAGTGAGCCAGAAAGATACTGAATGCCATTGAGGTTGATGAAGAGGGCTACATCCCGCCATCCAAGCAGTGGTGGGATTCAGCCAGTTCGCACCACTTCGGGAGAACCGGTTGTTAACTTTCTGAACAGTTTGGTGAACTGGTTGTTGGAAGAAATCATTAGGGCAGAGAACCGGTTGTTAAATTATTTGAATCCCGCCACTGCATCCAAGTCCTGACAAAAATCATCCAGCAGAGCACTTCTGAAGTTGATATATTCTCTGCATTGTTCACAATCCACAACAGCCACTATCCCTAACCTTCAAATTCCTGGTAGTGATCCTAGCACCTTACTTCAGAATTCTGCATCATGACCACACAACCACCAAATGCAGCATTTTTCATGAGTTTCATATATGACAAAAATAAATAAGGCTGTTCACATTTTGTAACCCAAAATTAAAAACTTCCCAATGATAGCTTAATATAGATGCCAGTAATGGACAAATACTGGCTCTGAGACAAAATTAAAGGCAATGGCTGCTAAGTAGCAGTGATGAGATGCTTTTGAAATAATTTCAAAGATTGTAGCCATCCCTCATCTTCATCCCCCATCTTTAAAGTATTCTGAGTAAAAAAGTCCACCTTCAAATCTTCTGCAGTACTACAAGATACAGTTTTCTTGGTATGCTTTCCTATGCTCAAATGTATTAGGAGTAATCAAAGTATATTTTGCAAAGTATGTGTTGTTGAATCCTAATAAAATAGAGAAATAGTTAATGGTTTGACAGAGATGAACAGTTCAAGCTTCCCAAACTGCAGTGGTTATTAGACTGCAGCTCCATAGTCCTCTAAAAGTTGATGGGAAATTGTATGTTAATGTGTAGAACAGAAAAACTGTTAAAAATATAAATACACATGTAATTATAATCTGAATTAATTTCAACAATTGAGTTTAATTTTTGTTGAATTCTGTCTACATTTTTGAATGTGGCTCCTTAGAATACTCGCCAAAGATAAAATAAGATCTTTAGCATGAAAAAGCTGCACTTATGCAATGATTTGGGGTTTGATCTATTTATTTATTTATTTTATTATTTATTATTCATATTTCTATGCCATCCACTCTCCGAGGACTCTGGGTGGCTTACACCAAAGACAGTATACTAAATAGCATATTGCCCCTAACAATCTGGGTCCTCCAAAAAAATCTATTGCCTTTTATGCTAAACACTGATTAAAAGATTTTTCAATTGCAGCGTACTATATAAAAGTTTGTTCTTAAAGATTTCAGGAAAGGCATTTTCACAAGGCCATCTTTTGTGATTTTGATTCAACAGTAGCAGCATTTAAGGTAGGCTGTACACCGCCCTGAGACCTTCGGGAGAAGGGCGGTATAGAAATAAAATTATTATTATTATTATTATTATTATTATTATTATTATTATTATTATTATTATTACTGTGTATATATTTATTTTTAGAAACTTGGTATTAATGATTAGTTATTATGTAAAACATTACGATTCACAGGGTAAATTGTTATTGTCTCAGTTTTCATTAGTTTACTATTTATTGTAAAAATGAAAAGACAATAATTTAAAAATTGTGAAGATAGTAAATATGGAAAATAAAGTTCAATTTTTTTAAAAAAAACCTGAGTAGCCAATCGCATAGTCACTAGTTTTCATTTTCATGCACTATTTTCTTAAACCATATCTATCTTACGACCACAATTGAGCCCAAGTATTTTGGTCATAAGTCATTGTGTTTGTTACGTGAGATGCCCATGTTACTGTTTTATGCAATGATCCCAATGCTGACTTTCCTTGTTGAGATTGTTAAGTGATCTTAAGCAGTGGGGGGAGGAGAGGTGCCTGGGAGGGGGAGGCCCAAAACAGGCCATGTATGCTGGGTAGGTGCAGTGCAGTGCAAAGCTGCAGTTGCCCCAGCTCAGCTCTGAAATGCAGCAGTTTGGAGGCAGGGCCTGGGCCTGAAGTAGGGGCTCAGAGCATTCAGCATTCTTAACTGAACATTAAGATGGTGCTGAACAAAGGAAGTTACAACCCATGCCTGAAGTTAGGTCTGTTGCAGTGCCCCTGTGATCACTGATGACAAAATTTGGGGTGTTTATCCCTGCCCTCCTCTCACAACTTCAAAGGGTCTACCCTCATCCCAACTACCTTCAGCAGTCTGAGAAATCTGCCATCATTTAGACCTCTAAATCAGCCTTTGTGTCGTTGCTGCCGGATGCCTTCCACCTCCCCACATCCACCTATTTCACCCGGTCTACGCTGTCCTACATAGCCCCATATGAACAGGCTCCATTCTTCAAAATCCCCATTAGACCTGGAAGTTTAGGGAAAGTCTGTTCATGTGGAGCTTCCAGAGGCTTCCAAAGACATGAAAAACTTCCAGAGGTTTCCAAAGTTGTGCAGGATCTTCAAAGGCTTCTGAAGTTGTGTGATACATGCCACAGAAATGAAGGTGACTGAGAACTGCCTCATATTGGCGCCTCAGCAAGAAAAAAAGTGTCTGCAAATAAGTGTCCACAGCTGATACTTGGGAGTGCTGAGTGGCAGGGCAATCATGCCATTCCCCAAGACTCACATGTCAATGGAGATCCTCAGTCATTCAGGTCATGGTTGTCCTAAAGGTGCTTTTTCAAGAGGCAATTGGACTTTCTGGTTTTTCTTTGTTTGTTTGTTTGTTTGTTTGTTTGAAGACATTTTGCTTCTCATCCAGGAAGGATGGGAAGCGAAATGTCTTCAAACAAAAAAGAAAAGAAAAAAGAAAAACCAGAAAGTCCAGTTGCCACTTGAAAAAGCACCTTTGGGACAACCAAGACTCACATGTTTTACAGAATGCAGTGAGGTGGCATTTTTGAGTGGCAGCAGCGATGCAAGCCCTGGGCATTGGCAGCTGCTTCAGACTGCTGAGGACAGTGATAGTGGGAAAGATAGGTGGGGGAGTTGCAGCACCCCTGCATTTTGTCAAGCATCTAAATTTTTATCGTATGACTACAGGGGTGCCGCAACAAACCTAATTCAGGCGTGTTAGTACACTGTGTGCACAATTATTAGGCAAGTTGTATTTTGGAGGATTAATTTTATTATTGAACAACTACAGTGCTCTTGGTCAATTAAAATATTAATAAACTTCAAACCTGAATATTTAAGAAAATAAAAGTGAGGTTTTGGCTTTCTTAGGAGAATATCTGTGTGCACAATTATTGGGTAACTATTAGTGTGCAGAATTATTATGCAACTAAATGCATCTGTTAAAGTGAGAATAATAAACAAACAACTCAAAATGACATTTCCCCCCGAAAAAATCAGTGACCAATATAGCAACCCTTCTTTTTAATAACAATTATAAGCCTTCCATTCATGGAACCTGTCAGTTTCTTGATCTGTTGACAATCAACTTTTTATGCAGCAGCAACCACAGCCTCCCAGACATTGTTCAGAGTGGTGTACTGTTTTCCTTCACTGTAAATCTCCTGTTTAAGAATGTTCCACAATTTCTCAATAGAGTTTAGGTCAGGTGAGGAAGGGTGGCATGCCATTATTCTTTCACCCTTAAGGCCTTTACTGGCTACCATGCAGTGGAATACTTAATGGAGCATTGTCCTGCATAAAAATCATTGTCTTCTTGAAAGATGCAGACTTTTTCCTTGTACCACTGCTTGAAGAAAGTGTCTTCTAAAAACTGGCAGTAGGCTTGAGAGTTAATTTTGAGTCCATCTTAAACTCGAAAAAGTCCAACTAGCTCATCTTTAATAATATCAGCCTATACCAGTACCGCCTTGCTGGCATCTGAGCCAAAGTGGAGTTCTGTGTCCATTACTGATCCAGCCATGGGCTCATTCATCTGGCCCAACAAGAATCACTCCCATCTCATCAGTACATAAAACCTTTGAAAAATCTGCCTTCAGATATTTCTTGGCCCAGTCTTGCCATTTCAACTTATGTGTCTTGTTCAGTGGTGGTCAGGTTTCAGCCTTCCTTACCTTGGCCATGTCTCTGAGCACTGAACACTTTGTACTTCTGGGCACTTCAGGTAGATTGCAGTTCTGGAATATGACAGCACCGAAGGATAAAGGATTCCTAGTAGCTTCACGTTTGATTCTTCTCAAATCTTTGAAGTTAATGTGTGCCTTTTTTTTCAACATGTTTCTTAACGACCCTGTTGACTGCAACAAAACATTTGATGGTTCTGCCCCAATATCTTAACAATTTCAAGAGTTTTTACAATGTTTGACTTTTCAGAGTCAGTTAAATCTCTTTTTTGGCCCATTTTGTCTGAGGAAAGGAAGCTGCCTAATAATTATGCACACCTTGATATAGGGCCGTGATGGTGAACCTATGGCACGTGTACCACAGGTGGCATACAGAGCCATATCAATGGGCACGCGAGCTCAGCTCAGCTCCGCCACACATGCGCATGGAGGCCAGCTGATTTTTGGGCCTTCTGGGCCCACTGAAACTAGAGAAACAGGCTATTTCCTGCCTCCGGAGAGCCTGGGGGGTGGGGAAGGCCGGATTTTCACTCTCCCCAGGCTCCGGGGACTTTTTAGGAGCCTGGGAGGGTGAAAATGGCCTTCCCCATCCCCCCGGAAGCACTCCGGAGGCCGGAAATGGCCCATTTGCCAACTTCTGGTGGGACTGGAAGGCCCGTTTTTCTCTCCCCCCAGGCTCCAGAGCCTTTCTAGGACCCTGGGGAGGGCAAAAATGGCCTTCCCCATACCCCCGGAGGCCAGAAAAGGTCTGTTTTCCAACTTCCAGTGGGACTGGAATGCTCGTTTTTCTCTCTCCCCAGGCTCCAGAGCCTTTCTAGGAGCCTGTGATGGGCGAAAAACAGGTCTACTGTGCCATCATGTGCCAAAATTGGGGGGAGCGCAGGGGGTCACGCACGCATGTGCAGGGGCGGGGTGCAGAGAATTATAGGTGCAGGCACACACATGCACAACCCCCCCGCGCTCCCCCCGCTTTTGGCACATGGCAAAAAGGTTAGCCATCACTGATATAGGGTGTTGATCTTCTTAGGCCACACCCTCCCTTATTACAGAGATACAAAGCACCTGATACACTACTAAACATTCAAGTTTATACTTGTGTTCAACAAGACTTCTAGAGTTAAGATAAACAACAGCGGGGATAACGGACAACCTTGCCTTGTACCTTTTTCTATACTGAAGTTTGTAGTTAAGCTTCCATTAATAATAATTTATGCTGTTTGCTCTTGATAAATTGCTGAAACCGCCTGCACGAACTGATCCCCAAAGTCCATCTTTCTTAAAGTCTTTAATAGAAAGTTCCAATTCACTCGATCAAAGGCCTTCTCCGCATCCAAAAACACCAGCACTGCAGAGATCTGTTTATTCTTCTCAAGATATTCCAATAAATCTATAATTTGCCTCACATTATCCTTCATGTATCTGCCTTCTATAAATCCTGCTTGATCATGATGAATCACCTCTTGAATAACTGGCATTAATCTGTTGGCTAATACTTTTGCAAAAAAATTTATAATCCGTATTCAGGAGAGATATTGGCCTAAAATTTTCCGGTTTTGTGGAACCTGCTTCCTCTTTCGGTATCAAAGAAACAAAAGCTGTTTTCCTTTTTTATTGAAAAAGTTTTACAAATACAAATTTTTCCCCATTTCCCCCCCCCCCTTTCCCTCCCTAACCCTCCCCTCCTCCCATGACTTCCCCAAGGTGAAATCCAAATCCAAATCATATTGTGTCATCATACTTTACCACACATCTATTCTACCCCCTGTGAACTATACATTTCTACATGACATTGAACTATTCTACCCCCTATATACTATACATTTCTACACAACATTCAACTAAAAGCTATCTGGTACTTCCTAGTTTGATATTTATTCTGCACATAATCTATCCATTTCTTCCACTCCCATACATAAGTCTCTTGAGTCCGGTCTTTTAAGTATGCTGATATCTTCGCCATTTCTGCAAAACTGGCCACCTTCAAAGTCCATTCTTCAATAGTAGCAAAACATCCCTTTTCCAATACTGACCAATCAGTAACCTAGCTGCTGTCACCATATATAATATCAATTTTGTCTCACCCCTTGAAAAATCCTTAACTATACCCAATAAGAACAATTGAGAAGAAAATTGGAGTTTTTTCTTCAGAACATTTTGCATAACCCACCAAATTTTTATCCAGAAAGCCTTCACTTTCTTGCAAGTCCACCATATATGATAATATGTAGCATCTAAACAATCACATCTCCAAAATTTTGGTTGAACATTAGGATACATACACGACAATTTCTTAGGATCTAAATGCCATCTATAAAACATTTTATAAAAATTTT